ACCAGGTGGGGAAAAAAATCCCTATATTTTAACAATAGCATGAAAGTGATTTGTTAACATGGTTCTTGAGGTTTGGTTTGAAGCATTGATCCAACTTTATACTTTTGCAATTTCTATTAATTATAGATAAGGCAAGATTCAATCATTTGTCCAGTCTTAGGGGTAATCAACAGATTTGTAAAATTTGGAACTGGTTTATCACTGGAGTTATTTTTTGTTACATGATTAGAAAGTCTGAAAATGGTGGGGCTACACAAACAGTATGGGAGATTTGTGATAGCCAATTCTTAATGAAGGGCTGGTTATATTTGATTTTATTTTTAGAAATCAGACTAGACAATTGTTGTTATAGTACTGATGGTAATGAAAACTTGAAAGGCTGTTTCTCGCATTGTATGTGAGGTATTTTCTTAAGTGTCATGTTAATTTTAACCACTCAGATTTTCTTTAGTTGCTCCTCTTCCTCTTCTGAGTTACTATTCTTCCCTGACTCCTGCCCCTATATTGACTGAGACATCTGAAGAAAACCCCTTTGTTTTCATACAAGGGAAAGCAAATGAACAACCCCCAGGCATATCTACTATAAGTAAATATGTCAACTCTTGAGCCTTGAGCAAAGGAACCTTCTCATCTCTGACCTATTATGTAGATTGAGTTATTGGTTATAGAGAACAGTTAAAGCTAAAACATAACAGTAAAAATCTACTTGGATTTTTCTTCAGGAACATTCTAAACTGTGTAAAAATATGAGACTTGCATAGATCAAATTGTTTTTAGGGATGTATATTTTGTATCCTCTAATTTAGAAATTGTCCAGGTATCCAAAGATTGGGCACTCAATTCTTAGAGTTATCTATGGATTATGAATTCAGCATTAAAGCTGACACATTGAGTTTTTATGATTTGCATGCAACTTTCTAAATGTTAGCTGTTTTAAAAATGACATTGTGATTTAATTTAACTCAATGCATAATATACAGAAGTATAATTTTAAATAAAATGATTTTTAACTCTTATAACTAGTAAACCTAGTGAAAGGAATTTAGCAAATTAGAGTTAATGATTGCTTTTTTTTTTTTTAAAGAAAATAAACCCCAGACTGGTGTGAACTAGAATATCGTACTAACATTATTCTTACTTCATGACAATAACAAAGAAAAAGACATAAGACCATTTTTAAAGCAAAATTAGTAATCTTAATTTAAAATATGTGATTTTCCCCTATGAAATTATATACGATGAACTAAAAAATTTAAGTTGTTCCAAAATAGAGAAGTTCTGTTTTGTTTCTTATTACTATAACCTGTCAACTAACTAAAACCACTAATTAAATTCAGTTAAACTTTCCTGTTTTCTTTAAGCTACAATTTAAAGAGGTAGCACATTTAAAGCATCAGGAGAATTTTTATTTTGATTTGAATTTCTCTCTTTTTTTAAAGTTTTTATTTAATTCCAGTTAATTAACATACAGTGTAATATTAGTTTCAGGGACACAATATGGTGATGCAGCAGTTCAATACAACAGCCTGTGGTCATCCGGACAAGTGCCCTCCTTCATCCCCATCACCTATTTCCCCCATCCTCCACCTCCCCTCTGGTGACCATCAGTTTGTTCTCTAGTCAAGAGGTTTTCCTCTCTTTTTTTCACCTTATGATCCTATGTTTTGTTTCTTAAATCGCACAGAAGAGTGACATTATATGGTATTTGTCTTTCTCTGACTGACTTATCTCGATTAGTTAGCATAATACCCTCTAGCTCCTAAATTCTCTTTAAATCATGTTTTTTAGTGTTTATGTAAAGCCATTTAAAACGAGTTTGCATTACAATTTACTAATTTCCTGCTGAGATAGATGACTTGCTCAAACTGACTTGTATTCATAAAACAAAAATATTCTCAATCTTTGTGGAAGTTAGAGGAGCTAATGGCGAAACCAGAATAAAACGTAAAGTTATGAAAAACAGAGCCAGATTTAAGTGTGTTAATCAGATTTTAAAAAACACAAAGGTATCATTGAGAAACAGATGTAATTAAGAGCAGAGATCTCTCAGCCAACACTGAGAATATGAGTAAACTGTTGATATCTTTCTAAGTTTTGTAGGAAATTCTACTTTCCAGTGCCATAGCTCTCACAATAAACACATTAAGATTTAGAAACCATTAAGTGTTTATTTTATAAGAGTATTGGAAGCCTTCTCTTTTTGTATGGCTCAGTAATCTGATTTATAATACCATGTTTCTTCTCTCTTCTCTCTAACCTTACTTAAAGAGCCTGAAAGGATAATAATTTGGAATTACTGAATCATAAACTTTAGAGGCTTCTGCAGAGCAAGAGACAGGCCCCTGCATGCTGGAGATTTAACTTTTCTTTCCTGTCGTCAGTCTCCTGTAAGGCCTAGCCACTTTATGAAAGTCAAAAGTTATTACAGATTGCCATTTTATATTTGCTTTTCTTTTTGATGCAGAAACTATTTTTGCAGATATTGACAACTATTTGGATACATAATGAGTAAACATGGAAAAGATTGTTTTGAAAGGAGGAAAGAGGCACGTATCTTCAGTTTCAGGAATCTACATACAGTATACAAACACAAAACACCAAACTCAGTGGATCACATTAAAGGCCAGAAGGAAAAACACCGACTTCCTGCTCATGTGTTCTCAAATGCTAAAGAATATCAGAATCCCCAAAGACAATCAACCTAAAAAAGATTAACACAAGAACTAGACTTCAGATTGCCTATCCTCTGCCACCAACTAAATCGCTTAATGATCTGACATAAAAGCACTAATGTGTAACCAATTGGCAGAGTGCCATCAGAATAAGAGCCAAAATAAGAAAAAATTTGGGCAAGAATACATTTCAGCATGCAAGAGCCAAAGGCAGATAAGCATAAAATTCAAACTGCCCAGGACTGGGCAAGGCACTTCACCAGGTCACACATTTCTATTGAGTCTTATGGCAGGACTTCAGTAAATGTCTTGGTGATTTTTCAGAAATAAATGGTCAAGTAGTTAATGATTAGCCTGCCCATTGCTTGTATAAAAGGGAGAACAAGCTATAGAATTATCTCATCCAACAAATGGCAAACCAGAATTTTTATAAAAGAGAAGAGAAGGAAACAAACAAACAAAAAAAAAACCAAAACATTGTAGTCAGGCTGGTAATAGTGAACCTGCACAGTTTTTGGATAACCTGATTAGCTGGTAGTTAGGTCAGGGTCAGCCTGAACTGGAGCATCAGTCCTTGAGCAGGTTCGCTAGGCACACAGGGAAAAAAAAATCCAATTTCAGTTGTTGAAGGACTCTGGAAACCTTACAGTTGGGCTGAGGAGCTAGTGTGACAAACCTCTCCAACTGTCTGGCCTGCATTATCATGTCCACCTTAACTAGTCCAGGGCTATACCATTTCTCAACTCTTCCAAGTTAGGCAACCAGAGCTGTGTTCCAATGGAAGCCTGTCTAGTGCTGGGCAAGTTCTTAGGATTCTTCCCAAATATTAATGAAAATTGCTGGTTTAAGATCATGAGGTCCTTATGTTAAGTAACCTGCTAATCTAAGCCACACATTTTACCCAAAATTGTACAAGACTTTGTGTTCTTTTGTAACAAAACTTCTTCCCCTTATATTCCCGTTTCTAATAGAAAAAGCAAATTTCACTCAGAAGTATTGAAATGTGTTCCCGACTTGGATAATACAAACGTTGAGAAAGGGCTTCGTTCACCTCAAAATCTTTACCTGGAACGAAGTTCTCAAGTGCTTAAAGTAGGATTTCCCAGCCTGCAGACTGCCGGCGATATCTGTTAAGTGAAAGCTCTTTTGGGAGACTGAGTGCGCCCAAAGGCGTCCTTCCTGTCGTCCCACCTCGTTCATCCGCCATTTCAGCTCCCTGGGAGACAAGTTACCCAGCAATTTTGAGCTGGAGCCTTCCAAAGGAGTTCGATCCTGACTGACTATAAGCCACCAGACACCTATAAAGATCGCAAATTTGTATGGTCAGATTAAACAAAATTACGACAAACTGAGCAAACTCTTTAACAGGAGTTCTAATGGAGATCAACCCCAGGAGCATAGAGTAACAGGACCAAACCTTTGGCACATAAATTCTGGCAGTTATTTAACATCAACCTCAGCGCTGTACTGCCCCCTACCAGGAAGAGAAAAAGCTACAGATTTCCTCAAGTGTTAAGGACTTCCTAATGAGCTGGACACTAGCCTCAACTCTCATCATGCAAAACTTCCATAAGTGTAAATTACAGCTCTCTTGATAAGACCGGTGGGTGGCTCTGAAAAGAGCCTTTGGGTTTAGGGAAGGAGACGCTTACTTGGCACGTTTACTTGGAGCTGGTGTACTTGGTGACAGCCTTGGTGCCCTCGGACACGGCGTGCTTGGCCAGCTCCCCGGGCAGCAGCAGGCGCACGGCCGTCTGGATCTCCCTGGACGTGATGGTCGAGCGCTTGTTGTAATGCGCCAAGCGCGACGCCTCGCCCGCGATGCGCTCGAAGATGTCGTTGACGAACGAGTTCATGATGCCCATGGCCTTGGACGAGATGCCCGTGTCGGGGTGCACCTGCTTCAGCACCTTGTACACGTACACCGAGTAGCTCTCCTTGCGGCTGCGCTTGCGCTTCTTGCCGTCCTTCTTCTGCGCCTTGGTCACCGCCTTCTTGGAGCCCTTCTTCGGGGCCGGCGCGGACTTGGCGGGCTCGGGCATATTAAAACCTCAGTGTCCGAAGCGAAGTGAAAGTAGGAAGCGAATCTCTGCTACTTATAGGGCTTTTATGCTAATGAAGGATGCAGACAGAGTCTTAGTTCATTGGAAGACAAGCAGCGAGGCTGTCATCCATGGGCAGAACTATGCAAATAAGGTATGGAAATAGAGCTTTTCTATTGGTTACTTGACTGAGTCTAGTTATTAGCCAATCAGACACCCGGATTTACTCCCCAGGAAATGCCTATAAAAGCAGCCATATTTCTACCTACTTCACTGTTAGGTTTGTTTTGGCAAGTAAATAGCTTTCTTGTGTTGGCGTCTCTTCTAGTCTACGATGTCTGGACGTGGCAAGCAGGGCGGCAAGGCTCGGGCCAAAGCGAAGTCTCGTTCCTCTCGTGCTGGGCTCCAGTTCCCGGTGGGCCGCGTCCACCGCCTGCTCCGCAAGGGCAACTACGCGGAGCGGGTCGGGGCGGGCGCGCCGGTGTACCTGGCGGCCGTGCTGGAGTACCTGACGGCCGAGATCCTGGAGCTGGCGGGCAACGCGGCCCGCGACAACAAGAAGACGCGCATCATCCCGCGCCACCTGCAGCTGGCCATCCGCAACGACGAGGAGCTCAACAAGCTGCTGGGCCGCGTGACCATCGCGCAGGGCGGCGTCCTGCCCAACATCCAGGCCGTGCTGCTGCCCAAGAAGACCGAGAGCCACCATAAGGCCAAGGGCAAGTGATTTGGTAAACCGGAGTTTTCGGAAACGCTTTCAAACCCAAAGGCTCTTTTCAGAGCCCCCCACCAATTCAAAGGAAGAGCTAATGCCGCACTTTTGATAAAGGGAGGAAATGGGAAAAGGTAAGTTAAGGTTTTTCCCAAAGTAGGATATAGAGGGTTCTCCGGTTTCGAGAAAAAGTTCCAAGATGCTGGTCTGTCAATGGGAAATGGCAAATTGATTAGCACCTGATCATTGAATGTACTTGGCGACCTCCGTAATGCACGCCTATCAGACGGAGTGGTTTAACCGCAGAACTCTTTCCGCGGCCTCTAAATTTTGTCTTGCAAACTTAGGTGCTCTTGAAAGCAAACTAACCGAATAGCACGATAATGTCCCTACGCCAACCCTCTTAGACGCCTCGTCTTTGGCTCCAAGCAACTCAACTAAATTGTAAAAGAGTTAGGTTCTGCTTCTGTAAGTTGTAAAAACAATTCCTGAAGCCTAAGGCAGTGAAAGTCCTCTGAAAAATGACTTCTCGGCGTTAATATAAGGTGGGTCACAACACTGAGTGGATCCAGATTCGAATTGTAGCTTCTCCCTGTTCACAAGGTAATTGTATTGGGCTAGTTTCTCGGGTGTGTCTCTCGGGCGTGTCAGCTCTAAATCGACGTAAGATGGTGATGTCATAATTGCATTTTTTTGTGCCAACTAAACCACATAAAGCCCCTAGCCTAGATCAGTGCCTAACAGTCAACGAACCGGAGTGAATTACATTTCGAGGCTCAAATGCCTAGATTTATAAGGCCTCCCAAGGATGTGGTACTTTAGCTGCTCCAGCTCCAAAAGTAGCAATCTGGGGGCCCTGCGAAAGTTCCTACGGTCTTATTCTGTAGGGTCGAATTTCACTAAGTGTTTCTTCAGGATGACTTGATTTATGCTTTGGGGAATGAGTGGGCCGCAGTTTAGGCCTCCCTCTGCGCGCAGAGACTCGGACAGCCCAAGCAAAAACCATGTCTTTTTCAAACGCTGTTTGAGCCCGGGAGATAATCTAAACCTAAACTCCGCCCCCCCCGGACGCGCCTCCCACTTTCTAAATATTGCAGCTCATAAAGTGGTCTGGAGGCAGCCCCCACCCTCCCCCGCCCTCCTCCTCTTCCCCCTCGCGCCTGCCACCTGCCCCCAGCCCCGCCTCCCCTTCCTTGGCCTTGCTGTCACCAGGGGAAAAAAGTGGCTAGTGTCTGTGAGTCTGGGGAAGGAAAAGTGGCAGGAAATGGCCACAGGTTAGAATTTCCCTAGGAGCTAGCTGTTAACGATTCTAATATGTAGCCCGACTGCAAATCTTCACTCCGGGGATGTCTGGCCTCACAGCGTTCTAGGCTAGGGGTCCACTCAGGCGACTGGGTTATTCCACTCAGAATTTCTTGTATGCTGGAGAACATGGCTCCTTAGGTCAGATCGCTTTGTATAAACCTAGCAATCCTCTTCATTAACCTTCCAGATTGCTTTTGAAGCCCGCTCCAGCACTGACCAGGTGACCTTGGGCTTGATGCCTCCACCTCCCCGGCTTACATTCCTTCCTTCCTGCTCACGTTCGCTCACCTCATGATGAAATGAGTAGGCTCAGCAGGCACTCAGGAGTAATGGCCAACACTTACTAAGCATTACTGTGTCCGGCACAGTTCATGCTTCCAGAAAATTCATGCAACCCAACCCTCCAGCAGTCGGTGCTATCCCTACCTGGATTTTAAGGAGGAGGAAACAGGAACAGAGCATAAAAAAATTGTCTAAGTTCCAAGGTCAGGAAGCCAAGCACTTTAACGCTGGCTGTTCTGTGAACACTGCTCCCTAAGAGATTATTGTCAAAAGAATGAAACCAGTAAAAATTCAATACATGATGCGTTAACTTTGTCCACATACCAGAATGTTACCGGTTGCATACTAAACTGAAGAATTTAAGGGAAGGAGGAGCGGGGTTCCCCCTGGAATCTACAGAAAGGAAGGTGAATCTTGGCGGTGGGTTAGCACTGTAAACCTGGGGAAAGCAAATACACTTTTGAATCAAGGGGACAAATCTGGAGGTGGTTTGGTAAAGAGCTACAGGACTTGATAAACTAATTTTCTGTGATGAATGAGGAAGGAGTTAGATTTGACTTTGAATTCTTCCTTCTAGGCTCCAGTAACAAAACTTTGTATTTGATTGATGAATAATACATTGTGTTAATTTTGTTTGTTTCATCTTGGACAAGACCTCCTTAAAGTCAAAGACCCCATCTTGTTAACTTATTAAGTCAACAGAGACCCTGGCATACCATAAACACTTGAAAATTAGGCATTGTGTAAATTTTGACCTGAGTCAATGGCTGGTCCATTAGGAAACACTTTGTTCTAGAGGAGACGGTAATTAGACACCAGACTAACAGGTTGCTAATAACATCTCTTTCCAGTAGAAAATCTCTTCTGAAAATCTAATTTGCACTGGTACCTTATTTGGGGAGCTTCAAAGAAACACAGAAGGTGCCAATTGACCAGCTCTTACCGAAGAGCTACAGCCAAAAGGCTCTCCAGAGGACACACCTCAGAGATCTTCTAGCTCCCCTTCTCAAGCATGCTTCTTTCCCTTCTACTTTGAAACATCACTGTTTATATCCAAAAGCCCTAGTTATGTCTTTGGAAAATTCTCCAGTGAGCAATAAACTCTCAGTAGTTTCAGTTGGTTTCCAGCTATTGGGCGGGTCTCCACCCGCCATGCCTCAAGGGTCCTGGGGAGGACCATCTCAACTGGGACAAATTCCTGAGAATGATAAACACAGGCCTCCCAATTACTGAAGACACCTGGACACCAGGGACAAAAAGTTGATCTCAGGGATTTACTGAGACGTGAGGCTAAGACAGAATCATTATCTGGTGATATAGGACATTCCCAACAAAGCAGATCAGTATGATACAGTATTACCAATTAGAAAATCCCATTTTACATTTCCAAATCATCTAGGCAGATTTCCTTTCCTCTGTCCACTGCACAGTCACTATCAATTTTTCTGTGATCATTGGAATTGGTTGGTTGGTTGTATTTTTTAGGAGTATGATATATTTTATAGTTATAAAAAATTATATATGTATTTTCAGGTCAATGACATTATCATCTAAGGATTTGTCGTCTTTTGATCCTAAGTTGTAATTATCAATGCAAATATTCCTGTTAAATATAATGTGTATTATTAGAGATTATTAGGAATTTCACTGAGGATTCCCCAGGCATATACTGAAATCGGAAATAAGGCCTCATATGTAGAATATGGCATGCAAACTTGAAAATAAAGTGAAGTTGCAGGCATGAAATTAGTGTAGCCCTCGTAAAAAAAAAAAAATCAGAACTTCATTGGACTACATTATATTGCAGTTGTTTGCTTGAACTGTAGTCTGGGCAGGGCCGACAGAACCAGCATCCTTTAGGACTTAGGAGTAATGTACCTCATTATAGTTGAGGTTCCTTCTGAAAGAAGCAAGTGTGCTAAACTTCAGATTCGTTGCCATATGTGGTTTGTCTGCCAGTTGGAGCTTCAACCTTGACCACATTCCTCATTGTCAGGGACACCAGGTGGTGGCAGGTGAGCATGTCCATTCCATTCCCTCCTACATTTGGAGATAGCCAGAGCTGGAAGTACTGGGCTTGACTTGGCACTACAACAAATTGTTCTTGTATTAAAGGCTGATCTCAGAGGGTCAGACAATGATGTGCTCTAAATTTTAGAACCTTGGATTTTGGTACTAGTTCATTTTTTTTTTTTTTAAGATTTTGTCTATTCACTTGAGGGAAGGAGAGAAAGAGAGAGGGAAGGAGCAAGGGGAGGGGCAGAAGGAGAGGAGAAGCAGACTTCCTGCTCAGCTGGGAACCTGACTTGGTGCTCCATCCCGGGATTCCATCTCAGGACTTGATCTCAGGACCCTGGGATCATGACCCGAGCCGAAAGCAGGCACTCAACAAACTGGACCACCCAGGTGCCCCACTAGTTCCTATTCTTTCATCAGTAGTGCATTTCAAAGGCTAGCTAGATGCTGTAAAGTTCCAAGTTTACATCTCCAGCTCCGACCTCTCCTTCGAACAGCAAATGTGTGTATACACATTTCTACTTAACACCTTCACTTGGAACTCTCTTCTCAGCCTGAATACATCTAAGATACAGAAGTTGACATTGTGGTCTCTAAGCCTGTTATTTCCTCCTATCTTTCCAGCTCAGGAAGTGACACAGCCTTAAAGCCATTTGATTGAGCCAAAATTTTAAAAGTGAGCCTCACCCCCTTCCCTTCATCTCCACAAATCTAGACTTTCTTAGGTCATGTCACCTACACCCCAACATATGTCTTGATCTATTCTCCACATTCCTTTATCATGACCTGAGAAGCCACCCAAGACCACCTCTGGCCTCTGCCCATGTCCTGGACTTCATCTCCATCTCACTGTTCCAGCCACACTAGTCTCTTCCCTCCTGTCAAGCTTTTTGCTGCTTCAAGACACTTTCATTGGCACTCTTATTCTCTGAAATACCTGTGCTCCAATGTGTCTTCCAGCAAGCTCCTTCTCCGCCTTCAGGCCTGTCTGAAATAGACCTACCCAGACAGATTACAGATCTGAATACAAAAGGCAAACATTAGATGAAATTTCAGGAAACGCTTTAACCTCAGTTTTGTACGTGTGTGTGTGTGTGTGTGTGTGTGTGTGTGTGTGTGTGTGTTTTGAGGGGGAGATGTTGCTATCAAGCAAGGCAGGAAACAAAACCATGTAAGAAAGGACATGAGCCGCATAGGCTAAAAGGAAATTTAAGATACAATATAATAGAAAAAAAGACCAAACAGGATATTTGGTGTCTATTATTAAATTCAAATGGCCAGTGCATCTGAGGGAAAAAAAAGTTAACCTTTCTGGTAGTTCAGTTTTGTGTATAACAGCAACAAAGGGATACCGAAACTAATAATACGTAGGCCTGCTGAGGATGATGAATTGCCACTGCCTTTAATCTTTTGAAAAATTCTCCTGGTGATGTGTATTTAAATGTATTATTAGGGATCCCTGGGTGGCGCAGCAGTTTGGCGCCTGCCTTTGGCCCAGGGCGCAATCCTGGAGACCCAGGATCGAATCCCATGTCGGGCTCCCGGTGCATGGAGCCTGCTTCTCCCTCTGCCTGTGTCTCTGCCTCTCTCTCTCTCTCTCTCTCTCTCTCTCTGTGTGACTATCATAAATAAATAAAAAATTTAAAAAATGTATTATTAGACACTTGGCCTTTGTACAACAAATTAGTACTAAATAAATAATGAAATAAACCAAACAGGAAAAAAAATTAGACACTTGGTAAAAAAAAAGGGTGCCTGCCATCTAGAAACAAAAGCCCCACCATGTAAGGTCATATGAGGTGAGATTGTTAACTTTTATAAGCATTTGAGTGTAAAGTGTAAAAATGAGCATGTAGTAAGCTTGTAACTGAAAGTCTAAAAAGTAAAATAAAAAAAGTAACAGAGAGTAACCCCTCTCTGTTCAATTCTCACCTCAGATCACATTCTACTATCACTGTTTAGATTCTTTAAAAAATAGCCCATGATTTATTTATTGGATCCCTCGCCCTTTGCCTTTTCTGATTACATCCTCTGCTCCACAAGTTAGGGACCTGTTCTGTCTACAGCAGAGGGCCTGGCACGAGGAGACCACTCCACTCTGCCGAATGAACAGGGGATGGATATTGTAGCCCAGAGAGGCCTTCTCTGAGCCCAGCACACGGTGATCTGAATTTCTATGGAAAGCTGTCTGCCCACTAACCACTGTCCACACCTTGCCTGCTAGCCCTCTGCAGTCTCCAGGCATGCAGTGAAACGGGGAAACATGCCCACTTGCTTTCCGCACTTAACCTCTTCCCAGCTTTGTGCACTAACCTCTCCAGACTTAATGTCTCATGATAACCCTCTGGAAGCCCTCCATTCTTCTAAGGGCCTGTTCTCTGCTAGCTGTTATCATGCATAAAAGAATCCTCTTGAATACGCTACTGCTAACTGGTCTGTGGTAACTAAATGTTTGCTTTGAATCGTGGAAAGAAAAGAGTCATACAGCTGGTGTGTGTGACAAAATCAATGCTTTTCATCCACTCACAATGTCTGCTCTGCGCAGAAGGGCACCTCGCTGGCTTTTACATTCTAATGCTGAGATTATCCAGTTAACACGCTCTTTTCCCGAGTGTTTTTGAAGAATTCTATCCTCTGTGTCTCTCTACCCCAGCACTTCACCTCCTCCCCATATAATAGATCTTCAGTAAATACCCAGAATGAATGTGCTGACAACAAAACTTGTATCTGCACAGAAAGGGAATAATCACTAAGCTGCAGGGACTTGGTTTATTCCTGGGTTGTGTACCATGTTAACCACCACTCTGCCTTAAATTCCAGTTGCTCATTTTGGAGGGAGATATGTAACTGGTATGTAGCTGGTCCTAAAGCTGCTCTGTCCAATACAGTAGCCACTAGCCACATGTGACATTTTCAATTTAAATAAAACAATTAAAAATTCAGGCTTCAGTTGCACTAAGTACATTTCAAGTTGCTGATGGCTCCTTACTGGACAGCAAAGATATAGAACACTTCTATCCTTCCAGAAAGTTCTATCAGTAGCATTGGGAGTACCTATCCTTGTCCTTCTGGGCTAACGTGTTCAAGAGCACTTAATCAACTTCCTCCAGGTGGCTCTGAGGATATACGGTTGCCAGATAAAATACAGGATGCTTGGGGCGCCTGGGTGGCGCAGTCAGTGGAGTGTCCAACTCTTGATTTCAGCTCAAGTCATGATCTCAGGGTCAGCACTCAGCACAGTGATTTTCTACCCCTCCTTCACCTTCTGCCCCTCTCCCCACTCACTCACTCTCTAAAATAAATACTCTTTGGGCACCTAAATGTCTGAGTGGTTGAGCATCTGCCTTTGGCTCAGGTCGTGATCCTGGGGTCCTGGTACTGAGTCCCATATTGCGCTCCCCACAAGTAGCCTGCTTCTCCCTCTACCTATGTCTCTGCCTCTCTGTGTGTCACTCATGAATAACTAAATAAAATCTTTAAAAAAATTAAATACTCTTTTAAAAAGAATAAAATGTTGAGTGATCAGTTAAATTTAAATGGCAAATAAGCAACAAATAATTGTTTTAGACTAAATGTGCTCCAAAATATTATATGAAACATACTATAGTAAAACAAAAATTATTTATCTGAAACTCAGATTTAACCAAGCATCTTGCATTTGTATTTGCCAAACAGGCAACCCTGCCTGAAAGCAAAATGAGAGTATCTTCACTGGGAACCTGGGTCCTCTTACCCTGGGAAGTTTCTCTGTGAGGAACTGAGAAGGGCTGATACCAGAAACAAGTCTGTAAATTTTGCTGCATGTGTTGAGGATGGCTGAGAAAGAAGTTCCTAACTACATTTACTTTGGTTTCTACTCTTTCCTTAGGTTTCAAGAGCTTCTCACTACAGAGATCTCTGGGTCAAGCGAGTCTGTGAAACTCATCGGTTCTCAGCAATAAATGAATGGATGGTGCCAGTGTTCTGACATCACTGATTGCTTCTGCACCTGCAAATTTTTTCCTATTGAAAACTTTTCTGGGTTTATGTCTCTGTGTGTACACATACATATGCCTTGGGGATAAGGAGAGGAAGGGGAGAGAAACATGATTAAAGGGAAGCTCTCTTTAGTACAAAATATGTCTGATATTTTGAGTAAGTAATATATTCAGAGAATTCAAACAAATCAAGATAACAATATATTTAATGAGAATCCACTCCTCCACTGGTTTACTTCACTAGGTAGCCATTCGTTTTCTTATTTATCCGCCATTGTTAATTCATGCAGATGTGAGTCAAGCCCCATACCCCCTTGCCTTCATTGCTAAAAGATAGCAGACCATAGACACCATTCTGCACTTGCTCTTGTCCATAACAATTATCTTGGAGAACTTTCCAGATGTGAAAGCAGGGAGCTTACTGTATGCTGTCCTATGGTATTGCACTGTCTCAATGCATCTTAGTTTATGTGACCTGTCCCCTGTTGGTGGGCACATAAAACAATGCTAGAGTGATAAGCCCTGATTTATGACACAACTGAAATTGTCCTCCTATTCTGCTGGGGTTGTGGAAAGTGAACAGCCACCAATCGCTTTCAGGTTGGACTCAGGTTCTTTGCCTTAGAAACGAAATTGTCTTAACCAAGTTAGTAATTTTGAGCCTCAATTTCTTCATCTGTAGTATGGAGGTAATACTTAACCTTAAGAGACTATGACAATGAAAAAAAAACACATGTATGAATTGTTTGAAGCTCAAAAGAACAGCACAAATAAGATTATTTAACTTTCCACACCATTTCTTTAGTGAGAATCATAGATAATATATTGCAATAATAACAGATTCCCCAAATTCCAGCCAGTTATGAGGAAGTAAAAGGTGGTACATGGAAGCAGGAAGGCAGTTTCATCAATTACCTGCTTAAGACATCTCCCGAGTGAGACGGCCATTTCCTACCCTCCTCAGAGGAGTCAGAAAACACACTCTTCCAATTTCCCTGCGTCTGTCTCCTTATTGCTCTTTTTTCTTCAATCAAGGTCAAGTTTTGTCTATTTGTGTATTTGTTTGTTTCTAAGGTCAAGTTTTGAGAATGTCTGTGCTACCCTGTAAAGTCTGCTTGTGCTGTGGGCCGGGGGGCTTCCTGGTGCATTGCCATATGGCCAGCTGTCCCCATGGTGCCTGACTTTGCTGGCATACACTGGTCAGTCAAGAAACAGCTGATGATTTCATAAGGTGGGGTTGTAAGAAGGAGGCTTCTATATAACAAATCCATATACCAAGTGGTTCATGCAGCTGCACAGACACAGATACATCTACACACAGCAGACATGCAGGGATACCTTCTGGAAAGGCATGGGAATCTGGAGCTGAATTACTTGGGTTCATGTTCCAGCTGTGCCAATAACTAGGAGCAAGTGACCTGCCATACCTGAGGGTTAAACTTTTCATCTGTGGAATGGGACAACACCTCTCAGTTTTAAGAATGAATCAAATGAGGTGGCATACGAGAAAACACAGGGTTCAGGGGCGCCTGGATGGTGCAGTTGGTTAAGCGGCTGACTCTTGATGTCGGCTCAGGTCATGATCTCAGGGTGGTGGGATGGAACCCTGGGTTAGGCTCCGCTCTCGTGGGGAAACCTGCTGGAAGTTCTCCCTCTCCCCCTGCCCCTCCCCACCACTTGTCTGCACGTACACATGTGAGCCCAAGCTCTCTCTCTTAAATATGTAAAGCTTTTTTTAAAAGCATATTGTTCCTTGTAAAGCCTAATATAAACATGTGCAAAACTATGTCAATGGAGATCTATCTATCTACCTTTCATGGATGGATCCATCTGTCTATCTCTGAAAGCAGGAAAGCAAAAGTAGAGAGGATGCTGGGACTCCCCCGAGGATTCACTGGTTTCTGCTAAGGACTGACAGAGCTGGAACACTACCTGTTTCTGGTGGCCGCTGGGCCTCTGCTGGGAAGAGGCTCCCAGAAGGGAGTCTGGCAGACACGCAGTGTGGAGGTGACAGGAGATGCTCCCACTCACCTCCCACCAGGACTCTCCCATGGACTGAAGCAGCAGCCCCGGCTACCTGGGTGGGCCTTTTAAACTCAGCTGAGCTGCCTTCCAAGAACAGAGCCTCCCAAGACAGGGATGCCCCACACACTGCCCACTCTTGTCTGCACTCCCCTTGGTCCCTCGATAGGGAGAATTCATCCCGACTGGGTATCTGAGCAACCTTGACAGAGAAAAGGAAATCTCATGAGGCTATTAGAAAGAAAGGTGCTGGGTGCCTGGGTGGCTCAGTCGGTTGGACATCTACCTTCGACTCGGGTCATGATCCCGGGGACCTGGAATCAAGCCCCACATCAGGCTCTCTGCTCAGCAGCAGGGTCTGCTTCTGCCTCTCCCTCTGCCCCTCCCTCAGCTCACTCTCACTTTCTCTGTCTCAAATAAATAAACAAAATCTTTAAAGAAAAAAAAAAGGGGTTCTGGGTGGCTCAATCAGTTAAGCCAATTATTCTTGGTTTCAGCTCAGTTCATAACCTCGGGTAGGGTCCTGAGATCAAGCCTTGTGTCCAGCTCTGTGCCTAGCATGGAGTCTGCTTTTCCCTTTCCCTCTGCTACTCTCCCTACTTGCTCTCCCTCTCTCAAATAAATAAATAAATAAAATCTTAAAAAAAAGAAAAGAAAAGAAAAATTAAGGGTCTTGAGCAGGTGGGCCTATGGGAAGACAGAGTACACGAGGGTAGCCCACAGAGGAAACTTCTGTTTCCTGTAGCTCAGTCCATTCAGGTTGAGGATGGAGAGACCAGGGCTCTGAAACAGTTGGTCTTGTGAGTGGTCACTAAAGAACTCAGTGCTCTGTACATGTCCACACGCTGAGTTATATTTCGGCCCTGACATCTTCACTTTCTCAAGCCTCCCATGGCCCATCTACCTGCCATCTGGAATCTTTCCTTCCTTTCTTTCTTCTCTGCATTGAGTGTATCCTCAGTAGCCCGAAGGTGGCCAGAGTGGCACTATTTACTAATGGGAATTAGTACATGCTCCACATCAGGGTGTTTTGCCAGGGAGAGCCACCTGTGAGATGCCAACTGGCACACCTCTGCCAGGAATGCTCACTGCTCATGCCCAGGAAGGACACACTTGTTGGCCTACACTAGTTTCCTACCTGGAAGGGTCCTGCCTCAGCTGCCATGCTTCTGGACTGATTTCAACCCCACACTCCCACAATCTATGCCTCCCATGTCTATTTCTGCATTGTTACTCATCAGCTGGGTTTTCATATCTACCTTCCAAGTTCTATGAGGAAATCTAGAACATTCTTCAGATGGATACTCACCTGCCTCACCCCTCACTTCCTTTTTGCTCCCACATCATTCTAGTTCCAGAGCGGGAGAGTGGCCATAGTCTGGCAGGTAGTGACTCTGGGAGCATGGACTGTCACCACAGTGCTAGGAATGCCATGAGCAAGGCACAGCCAGGACGCAACAGGGCTGTTTAGCCAGTGACCCCAGGGACCTCCTGCGGGTTGCTTGGCAATGAACCCAGAACAATGGCTGCTTCTCTCCCTGTGGGAGGATCAGCCAGTGTTCCTAAGTGCTGGGAGGCTGCTGTTCCCAGCTGACACCCACACAGAAAATGTTTCTTCTATTCAAGTCTGCTTTCATGCTTTCTCTGCGGAGGGAACAGCACAGACAGTGGGCACCCTTCTGGAGCACAGCCCCTTTGGGCACAGGGCCTCCTTCCCCAGGAATGAGCCCCCTGAACGTGGCATGAGAACAGACACTGAACCAGCAGCCTTCTGGCTCCCAGTGCCAGTGGACACAGGACCAATGAGAACCCCAAATAGGAAGACCTGGTAAGGGTCACATGACCTTTGGGGGTGGTAGTCAGTGGACAGGAGTGGATAGCTTTCACTAAAGGGTTGGGATCTAACTTTTAAAACATTATTTAAATCTCATTGAGTCTATCTTCCCAAATGTCCTTCATGAAAGCTAGGATCCAACTGCTGTTTCTGTAATTTCCACTTATTTCTGCAGACTTCCCTTCTACTGCCCACCTCTGCCCTCAATCTCTCTTTCCTTGCCACTGAGCATCATCTGTTTTTCAAGGAGCACCTTTGAAAAGCACCTTTTTGGTTTTACCCTAGGTGGCCTGTGTTGAAATATGCATAGACCCAACCACTCCTGGGCTCCGTGGATGCTCCAGTGGGACCCAGTCTCCAAGGAGCGCAGCTTGGGCTTCGGTTGCAGGCATCTGTGTTGTGAAGCAGTGGTGCAGAACAGTCCTCTGGCTCCATCATCAGGAACCATGCTGCTGGGATCTACTCAGACGCTGTGCCTCAGGACCAGACAAGCGTTCCTGTACCCAAATTTACTGCTCTCCAAACTAGAGTTGGGTTGTGAGGAATGGAACTCCTATCTCCTTTCATTAATTAGCTTATAATGTTCATGATAGGCCAAGCACTAACTTATTTTTATTTTCATACGGAGTTTATGATAGAGGTGCTATCTTTAACCCATTTTGTACGAGACCGAGACACAGAGACATAAATAACTTGCCCAAGTCATATTATTTTATGACACAATGATACCAGTGGTCTAATATTGCAAGGAGCTAAGAACTGTCTGTCTCTTTGGAGGTTTGTTTGATTTCCCTCAGTCATTACACCAATTTCATAATGTCTTCCATGGCTTTGTCTTTAACTAAGGCATGCCAGAAATAAAACTCTACTAATTTTTTTATTTTTTGGTGATTTATGCCATTCTAAGAGAGAGAATTTCTGAGAGAAATGTTCAATTTTAAGAAAGCAAGAAGATATTTGATTTTATTTTTTTAAAGATTTATTTATTCATTCATACAGATACAGAGAGACACAGACAGAGAAAGAGGTAGAGACATAGGCAGAGGGAGAAGCAGGCTCTTCGCAGGAGCCTGATGTGGAACTCGATCCCAGATCCTGAGATCACGACCTGAGATAACCCAGGAGTATGAACCTTCAGGGGCAAGGATCTTTGAGGGTCAACTTAGAGAAGACCTATCACAAGGAATATATCACCACCTGTTTAAAACAAGGGGAAACTGTCTTCGTGGCTCAGCATCTTGAAAAATGGAAGTGCATCTCTGTTTTCAAACACAGGGGACCTGGTTGGGTGCAGATTGGGTCATATGTTCAGGCATCAAAAATTGCAGAACTATTTGTTTGCATTTCTGCCTGTGTACTCTGCTGCAGCTGAGTGTCACTGGAAACTGCATTTCCCAGGTTCCTTTGCTCTCTGGTTTCCAGTAGATTTGAGTAATGGGAGACACTGGTGCTACACAATGATGGGACAGGGCACTTTCCCCCTCCTTCCCTCTTCAATTCCTGGGGTTTCTCCAGCCTCATTGGTACACTGGCTCAGTCTCATCAGATGGCCCTTCTTTTGGTGGTCTCAGCTCCTGCCACCCCAGCCTGTGCTGTTCCAGCCCCAATTCCCACCCAGGTGATAGTTATCCCCTCTTCTTCCTTTTGACCCTGGAAGCCCTTGGAGAGGTGGCAACTTCCTGCCGCTGCTTATCTTTGGGTTACTCCTCACCCTTCTTTTGGTTTCTCGACTCTTTCATCATATGTATATACTTATCTCAAGTAAATCCCTTCTATATGAAATCCCTAGAGTGGTTTTTCTCTTTTTTAACTGAACTGATCAAACACAGCTGATGAACATTGCTCTTTCTTGAACGACCGATGTACAGAGCAGTGTTTACAGCATTTTCTAGTGCTAAATACCTGCCCTGGTCCTCATGCTGCTGGAAGTCCAGAGGATGGATGCTTCTTCAGGATAGAGTTTTACTACTCAGGGCTCATGTTTTCTATTTGAGAACATGGTAGGCTTTGTGACATCTGTGATCTCTTACATCTCTGAATATTGGAGGCTCCAGAATTTCACCATAGAGAAAGCTTAGGAACCATATTCTAATCGGGAAATGAATTGGGAGCACTTTATATGAAACCAAAGTGTGTATTTTGTTGTGGGGGGAGGGAGGAGAAGAAAATAAACAAAATTGAAAACCCTGAGTTGTCCATGTCAGAGAAGGGAATGTTACTGGTGGTGACCATGGGTGAAGCTGACAAGGATTATGCTAGGGCTTCATAAACTAAGTATATAGTCCTACAAATTGCTTTCCATTTCCTACTGCACCCCCTGCTTTCTTCCTTACCCCTAAATCAAAGAAGAAGGCTTAAGAATAAAGTTTAAAAAATATAAAAATAACATTTCACTGTACTAGGAATAATAATAAATTACAAATGGTCAAGGAGCTGATCATTGGAATAATTTTACCAGGAAGAGAGAAAGGACAAGTAACTCTTGTAGCTTAACACCTTGGGTTACTATAAGTTATATAAGTTACTTATGTGATTACTAGAAGTCCAGAAAGTTCATGTGAGAGAAAATATGAGAAAAGGAAAGTTTGTGGTCAGCTAGAAAAAGAAGAGTTCAAGAATGATGAGTTGTTCAACACATCTTTCCCACAAATGAGAACACAGTACAGAAGTGTCCCTGGACTGGAGATGCTGATTGATTAAGAGACCATTGTATGATAAAAACATCCCTTATTATAATTTGATGCTCAAAAAATATCCTCTAATCTGTATCTTGGCCTTCTGACCAGAAAGTAAGCACACGTCTGATATTTATTTTTAATATCAAGTGTATCTCATTATAAATTAATTAATGGCATGATAACCTACAGCCCATAACCCTCAAATACTTGAGAAAGGCAGAGTGTAAGTAAGGACATTTAATCTTATTTACA